CTTTCTTCCATGGGAATGAATTAATGACCTAATGCGCTTCCGAAAAATAGATTTGATGATTCCGTGATTGTGAAGGTTCTCCACTACCTGTAGGGTGTCAGGTGGTTATTCACGTCGGTTTCATTATCCTCATGTAGGAGCTGATGGGCATGCAACTTTTGAGTTTGGATATCAGAGGTGAGCAATATACTACGAGTTTCATCTTCTTCTTTGAACACTTGAGGTGTCACATGACCAATAATGTTGAAGGACCGATTGGTCTTCGTAGGGCCAGTCAAATCTAATTCCGCTGCTTCTTGAACCTCTCAGCTAACCAAAGCTTCCAGCCAGATGTACCAGCTTTGCTGTCATCGAAAGGTCTCATTATTCCAGCCACTCGTTCCTCAGGGTCGGATACGGAGAACACCAGTAACTGATCATTTTTTTGTGATAACAGAGTGGAAGATTATCTGATCAACGGAGGGTATGTGTTACCATAATGCTCCCATCACAACCTTGAAAGTAGGAATGAGCAAAGACAGCAACACAAATTTGTTGAGGATCGCAAGGTGCAGTAGACAGCTAGGGTGTATGAAAAGCATGCAGTTGTTTCGTAGTCACATTGACTAATCGTGACATACCAGTTTGGGGGTGGAACGCCATCTCTTGTTTCGTAGCGGTGGAGATCATATTTGTCTTGAGTGAATGTGTGGTTCGTCAAAAAATTAGTGCTTAATAGTATAAAGACGGTTGCTACGCAGTATACCCGTACCTCTGGTAATCATTTTGGGCCAGGTTTCCTTACGCACCGATGACAACTTTTCAACATGTTACATTGTGTAACTATTCCTGTATCCCCCTCGCGATTTCGTTACTTTTTTTCTCTCAATCATAGTGCGATTTTGGTTTCGCGAAACGCATTGGTTTGGGGAAGAAGACTTGGACATTCTGTGGCACACCGGAATATGTCGCACCGGAGATCATCCTGAACAAAGGCCATGATTATTCTGCCGACTATTGGTCTCTGGGTATTCTGATCTTTGAGCTACTCACTGGAAGGTGAGTAGCACAGGTATTTCAGTCAGTCGGGAATATTTTGAGTTTTGATGGAATGTGCCTCATGCATTCCACAAACTGCCTAAAACCTACATCCCCAAAACCAAAGCAGTCATGTCGTTATCCTTGAAGGGGATATTGTTTTAATTAGATACTTCGTAAAGTGACGTAAAGTGACCTTGGGAGGTACCTTCACATTCGCAGCGGCTGATTTGTATAAGGAAGATGGGCGGCGGGCAATTGGAGGGAACTTCAACCTTACGCGAACCGTCAAAATAGCGAAGCACTAGTCATTTCACCCGAGTACTGGGTCAGTAAAAAGTGAACCCAAAAAACTGTGTACTTTTAGCTTGACATCCTGGTCTATATTGGGCACAGTGAAATGTCTCAGTCTTCTCCTTTATTTCAACTTATTCGTCCTCGATTTTGATGCTATGACTTCTGGTTTTATTGCAGTATCGATAGCCAAGTGCCTGTCGCTGATGAAGTTCACGAGTGACCTATTTCATTTAAAAGCATTATTTAGGCTACCCCTTATTGGGTTGGCCTGGAATACCGTCCTGCATTTTACCATCCAAGCTTAGTCGATACTACTCATGCCTAGTGAAGCCTTGCTAATCAGAAACAGTATGGTGTGTAAGTGTGCATTCTTGGCGTGTGTTGTCAGCTTGTCCTAGAGATGTCAAAAGTATTTTGACTGGTTCAGTTACTAAATTATCCCGTTTAGGGTCTTTTTAGCTTTTGATTTTAACGAAATATTCCTTCTTGTGGCATTCGTACAGTTGTATCTGTGTTTTCCTCATGACCCAACAGCCCGCCGTTCACTGGATCTGACCCGATGAAAATATACAATGTCGTGCTCCGTGGTATAGACGCGATTCAATTCCCATCGCAATATATCAACCGCTCAGCTACCACATTGATCAAACGACTGTGTGCTCACAACCCGGCACAACGACTTGGTTACGGCCTCGGTGGAACAATTGATATAAAACAAAACAAGTGTGTTTCCCCGGACATTGTCTCTTTTTTCTTGATCTGTACGCCGCACTACACGCATATTATCTAAATATAAAGCACAACGCGCAGCTCAAACACGTTTGCAAACAACTCCGAAAAGATAAAAAAACTATTGTTATTTGTCCTGTAGTAGTATGCATAAAAAGCTCAGGAAACTACGGCAGTGACAATTAAATGTCATAAATGAATACAATATTACTTAGTTCAAGGCCAATAAGAAACTTCTTCGAATATCTTCGTAACAGTAGCCAGAGGCGGTCTGTGCACTGCACATTACGGGAAAGAATATCAAAGTGCTGTTCACCAAGAGGGACTCCGTCGAGCCCACAGTTACAACAATTGCACCATGCATACGACCTTCGGAAAATTTGTCTCAAACTTCTTANGCATACGACCTTCGGAAAATTTGTCTCAAACTTCTTAAAGAATTGCTACGTTAGTGTAGATAAAACTTATTAAGGCAGTCGCAGAATCAATATCACTCGCCCATCGGTAATACTGGAGTTCCATACAATGTTCAGTCACCTCCCGAAGACATGAGTTTAAGGATATGAACTAATGGATGGAGCGAGATTATTGCACGTTTATCTTATTCACCGCGAGTTCCTTCAGAAGATTGCCTTAGTGAACAGATAAACTGGCTGCGGACGGCTACCTTGAGGGAGAGTAACCTGCGACAGCTCTAGAATTCCGCGTCAAAGCTTCCTATCTAAGATCGAATCACACCAGGTTTCCCCGACGTTGTCGACCATGTTCGGGGAACACGTTAAATGTCTTTGGCCTCTCTTTTTTGTCAAAGTTTTAATGCTCCTTCCCGGCTCAGTCACTCGTATTGTGCTCCCATTCCCTCCAGGGTTGATAACCTGCTAGGCATGCTTGCCGTGGGGACAAGTGCACACAGCTATTTACTGAAGGATAATGTTTGACACAATATTCCAAACTGGACGAAGATGCGCAGATGAATATTCCACCGGTGGAAGGCTATGTGCACCGACCTAAAGGCCCTAGAGTCCCTCGTGCAAAAATGTTGAGATCGTGCCCTTGAAAACACGTTATAAAACCTGATTTCTCAGAGTATGCATAAGTTCTACGGTAGCGGATAGATAGGATTTTTCTAGTGAAATCGTTGGACGGTGTTGTTCACTAACCGGTATCTATCTGAACCATTTTATCAGTGATCCATCTGAGTCACGTGTCTAAAGTTTAATAGGCGATATGGTGGGTTACGTGACCGGAGGGTTTTGTAAGGTGTAGGCACACTACCTGTGCTACTGTTGAAGAATCCGCCTATTCATTCTACCCATCAATGATCAGTATATGGCCCGATGTTCCGGAGCATGTTACTCAAGGTCATCCATGACTCTATTGATCATTATGGCCTCCATGAAATGGGATATCACCGACAAGGGGATTCAATGCATTTTTCCATCCAGTATCCTCTGTTTCGAGACTTGAAAAATTGCCTGCTATTTGGTTTTCACTTTGGGGGAAGGGACAAGATTTTTCACGAGGTTGAAGTGGAAGGGTGAACTCTTCGACACCACTTCAGTTGTCACCAGTTGGAATATTTAAGAAATACACCCGGACTACAGGTCGCTGAGAATGAAGGCACTCGTCAAATATTAGTGTTGAGATATTTCTTGACATTTGTTACCTCAGCCATTTAAGGGAAACACGACCCTCTATAGTAACGGTGATTTTCACCCGGTGGTCTTGTGAAGCCTAATAAAAGGCTTCTGCATTCCGTATTCTGGTCTTTGGTTTGTTAGCTGACCTAGACA